GACTCCTGCGGTCCTCTGCCCTTTGGTTAAAAATCTTTAAAAAAAATTAATTTTTTATATTTTTTTAATTATTTTTTAATTATTTATTATTTTTAAAGAATTGCATCTTGCAGGAAGGAGGATGGCCTGGAGTTTTTAATCAGCCCTGTGCCTTTGGCCGAAGAACAGACCTCGCTCACGCTGCGGGCTTCACCTGTGGGCATCGATCTCTCCCTTTAGCAGCAGTGCCGGTCCCCCAGCTCCAAAACGTCACTGGTAACGCTTAGACCTCGCTCTGCACATGGCAGCGAGGAGCTGGGGAGGCGATGAGGACAGGCCAGGTCCTGCTGCCGAGCTGCCAGAGTCCTCCTGCAGCTTCTGCCAGCTCTGTGCGAGACGTCCCGGGCTGGTGGGCGACGCGTGCGACGCACGAGAGGCACGGCGTTAAGGTGTGCCGATAACGAGACCCGTTTCGTTAGCTTCACCGGTGCTTATCCCTCGTTGGGAGCTGGGGGCACGGCTGGGGGGGGGGCTTTATCCACGGGGTTAGGAAGGAGCTTGCCGAGCAGGTCCAGCGTTTCTGAGCCTCGGGGCTGGAACACGGACAAGGAGGAGCAGCGAGGGGGCGGCGGTCAGCCGGGCTGCGGCTGGTCGTGCGTAAACCTTTCCCCAGCGAGAAGCCCCAGAGAGCTGCAGCACCCACTCCTCCTTATTTATCTATTTATTTATCTTATTTATTCATTTATCTTAACCCTGTACCTCTTGTGCTTCCCTCGCCGGCAGTGCGTGGGACGCCAGCTCACGCAGAGAGAAGCGAAATTGTCCTCGCGCGTGCCCAGGAAATGAAAACCCCACTGCCATGGACAACAGCGAGATTTTCTCAGCTCTCAGGGGCTTCAAGGTTCTTGAATCTCTTCCTTCATTAACCTCGGTGTATTTAAAAGTATTTTTAAACCTCTTGTGTTGGAGAGGCTGGGCTGGAGTGTGCGCTCGCTTAGAAGGGGCTGCGTAAAGTCAGCGTGGGGAGCCCGGCTTTGCGAACGCGGGTTGCTAAGGCTGGGGCTCGTGGCCTTGAGCTCGGTCCCCTCTTCCACCACGAGCTCCTTGGCGAGTCCGAGCAGCCTCGACTCCTTTAGCCGGAGGTGCCCCATCTCGCTGCGTGCACGTGAGGAAGCTGCCGAGTTTTGCACGTGGAGGGAGCCCGTACCGTGGCCTAGAACTTGCTGCTGTGGCACTGGTAGAGCTGTTGTCTTAACTTCCATGCTGGTTCCTCACCAGCTCGCCAGTATAAAATATCCATCCTCTAGCTTTCATTACCTTATTCTTTTCTGGTTCTTCCCTCTCTCTCCTGGAACATCATCGTAGCCCTCATCTGCCAAGCCAACCCTCTTATTGCTGCATCCTTCTCCACTGTGGTCTGGCTCCTGCTCAGCTATCTCGGGAGCTCATCTCCTTCTGCTCCATGCTGGCACGGGAGGTGAAGCACGAGACGCGTCGGTGACGGAGTTTGCAGAGAAGGGAGCAGAGCGGCAGAGCGTTTGCTGGTGGTTGTAGCGCAGCCGTCTGAGGTCTTGAAGCCTTTGAGGTGTTTGACTTGTGGTTCTGGGTCAGTAGAACAGATCGATATTGGGCTTTACCCGTCTTGAGCTAACAAGTCACCGTGCAAGTCGATATGTGAGGTTTTTATCCATGAGCTGTAATAGCCCATAGTATTATCCTCCCCCTCTGCTCTGCCCCAGTGAGGCCCCATCTGCAGTGCTGTGTCCAGTGCTGGGCTCCCCACTTCAAGAAAGATGAGGAGCTACTGGAGAGAGTCCAGCGCAGGGCTACGAGGATGAGGAGGAGACTGGAGCATCTCTCCTAGGAGGAGAG